CCTGACTCTGCATCTGTATGGCTCGTGCTGCAATTACTGATCTCATTAACAAAGCGCTGCCAGACCTGGCTGGGATTTGGAGAAGATCTAGGGAAATGATGGGTATTGCAAGAAGAGGTAGGGCTGATTCATAGCTTGGCTATCTTCCCTCTGAATCAGCAGGAAAATAATTAATATACAGGCTAGCAGTTGGAGACAGCAGCCAGCAGTCCCCCTTACAATCTGAAGTCTTCCTTATTTTTCAGTAACTCAAGTCATTTTACTTTCTAGTTGTGTTAATTACCAAACAATTGTGTGAATCATTTGGTGAGGAAAAGCAAAGACAAAATAATTAGCTTTACCTTTAATTCTTGGTGGAGCCTCTTGTTTCTCCTGGGCAACCTAAATGCCCAGGACTTCCCACAGTGCTTATACTGGATCTCAGGTAGTCTATGCTGTAGAAGGAAATAATTTCTGCTGCATGGGGCCTGTGGGAGGAGTTTGGGATGCCTGACCCAGGGTGTTGCATCCTTTGAGAGCCCTGATCTTGCTCAAACCTTTCCCTGGGGAATGGCACTGTCTCACATGCACATCTCTGTATTTTAAAAGAGAAAAAGAGAGAAAAAGCAGACCCGGCAATAGTCAAATACCACAGAAAGACCAATCACCATGTATGAGGGTGGGAAATCTTACTGCCCAAGGATATAAATCCATCTCAAAGCATCCAGATTACTTCATCTTTGCATATGGTGTTTTAATGGCTGATGATACACACAGCCAGTGGAATGTCTTTTCATTGTTAGATGTCTTTGCCAAAAAGAAGGCAGTAAAGCCAAAAAGAGACAGAGGAAAAAGTGTTTTAAAAGTTTATATTTCAACTCTGAAGACTGGAAAAAAATTCTAAAAAAATCCAATAAAACAACCAGTTTAGTGACATCAATAATTTAGAGAAAAAAAGGAAGATGAATTTCCCCTTCACATTCAGGTTCTTACAAGGTAAAAAGCCCAAAGGAGGAACAAGGCTTGTATCTAACTGAGTTATTGGGAAATACTTTTCAAGTCTAGCTTCAGAGTGGGCAGGCAGGGGATGCTGTAGGATCCCTGTCACCAGAGGGTTCAAAGAGGCTGAGCTGTGCTAGGGCATGGCAGCTGAAGGGATGGAGCATCGTGCCAGCCCCCACTGGCTCATCTCATTCCCCCAAGGGGAAACAGGGTAAGTGCCAGGCACAAACACCCCGTGCTTCTGGTACAGCTGCCACTGCCACAGTGTGGTGCATGCCAGTTTTGATCTGGGGGTGAATTAACCAGTGAGACACTTCAGCCAGGGACACAGTGCTTGTCCCTTCCTCTGGGTGCCTTAATTGAAGAGGCATTGCTCCAGTCATACCCACAGATTAATGCTGCCAGCCTGAGGTCTCTGTCAGCAGAGGTCCCACAGTCTCGTATCTGGGTGAGTGCAAGTGATTGCAGGAATCAGTCACTTCTCATTAGCCAAGCCAAGGAAAAAAATCTTTTAATGCAAGAGCAATAGGGTTTAAATCTTCATATTGACATGAACCATACCTTCACAGGTCATAGAGATATATGTTCTTTTCCAGGACCCATGTATGAGACTTAAAACAACTGTCACACCTTAATGAATAAAATGAGACTCCTCCTGCCCTCTCTAATCTGCTGACTTCCAACTTCAAGCTTCACGATACTGAAGCTTCAAGCTGTCATCTCTGGTATTATCAGACAGTATATATATATACAATGAAACTATGGTTCTCTAAGAAGAGATAGTCAAGCTGGGCATGGATTCAGGCAGAATAACACCAGGGTTTCATTTGAAATCAGAGGTTGTAAAGAGATGATCTTTACCTCCAGCCTTCCAACATGATGATGGTTCCCCTCCAGATATAAATCAACACCCTTGCTGGAGGTAATTGCCTCCAGTACTGTGTTTAGCACTGTTGAACCTAATTAAGGTATGAATGGCCAGGGTTTAATTTTGATTTAGGGTTCTGCCCTTAATATGTTTAAACATGGATTTCCCCTAAAGCCTGATCATTATGCGTTTGCTGCTCTTGTGGTTGTACAAACTGGACAAGGGGTTGCTGATGTGCCCTGTGATGCTTACTGGAGAGGAAGGGATTTGCTGGGATGTAACACAGCTCATGGCATGGGAAAAAGGCTTTTTACCCCACCCTGAACACAAACACCACATGATGTGAGCATATGGGCAATGCCACTTAGTATCAGATGTCCTGGGCATTACAGAAGAGCCACAACCACTCGGGAGGGATGTGCACGAGTGCCTCGGTTGCAAAGCAAATTGATAGTGAACTGTCAAATCCAGGGGGATGTGGCAGGAAGATTTTCAGCAGAAACAAGTCCACGGCGTTAATCAGCCCTCCTGCTTTAATTAATGTCAGCAGCAAGAAAACAGCTGGAGTTTGTTTGTTTTTCAGATAACCTGTATAAAAATATCCCTTCTGTAGCAGCTGTTTTCATGCTGTGGCTTGAAATCCATTGTTGTTTTTCATTTTGTAACTAGCACTTAATCTTGCTTTCATTTCAGCTGGGGTGGGATGCTATAAATGAGATGATTAAAGAAAAAATCCCAAACAAATAGAAGAAAAAAAACCCAAAACAAACAAACCCTCAGAGGACTCTAAATTAACAAAACCCTGTAAAGCAACAAAACCCTGTGAAGCAATGACTCACAAGTGCCTGGACAGGTTTGCCTGGCTGCAGAGGGGATACGGTTGTTTTGTTCATCACTTCTCCTACCTGAGAAGTTGGATTTGTCCCCAGGCTTCTACAATACTGCAATATTTTAACAAATGTACTCCATTCCGCTGTTCGGCACGGAGTCAACACACCAGCTCTGAGGAAAAAGCAGTGCTGAGGTTAGACATCCACATAAATCACTCTCATACTCGGCCAGCCTATAAATATTAGGGGTTTGAGATCAGCAGAGTAACTTGCTTAATTCCATTTCTGTGGGATCATGTGAGCTGCTGTTGATTAGCATTCACCTACCTGATCTCCAGGATGAGAGATAATCAGCACCCTTGATGTCCCAAGGTGTTGCTGGGTGCTGTGCCATGGGCACGAGGTCCACAGGACCTGCACACTCCAGCTGGTCCCTGTGTTCACTCTACGTGTATGTCAGGGCCACTAATTACTGCTAATTTCATTAAGTTGGTGTGTGCCTCTTGCATGCATTGTAAAGTCAGTCTGAGTGAAGGTGATTAATGAGGTTGGATGTTTTTAGTAGCTATTTGTATTGCTGTAGCAGCTGGAAAGTGTCATGCACTGAGACTCTTGGGTGTTGCATGTGAGCAAGGTGAGATATCCAGCTTGAGGGTGACTCACCTTGGAAAGGAGTTTAGGAGCCAGGATGCTAAATTAACCACAGTGATTGCAAAATGGGTCTAAAGTAAATCTAAATATAGGTCTAAAGTTTCTGCTTGTAGGTTGGGATGTTTTATCCATCGCACAGAGTGCTTCACACAACATTAGTTCTGTCTTGGCAAACACAGAGTTTTAGGTGTCCCTCACATACAAAAGGTGAATGAGGACATCATCCCAGCTCTGTTCCTGCTGAGGGTGCAAGAGACCTCTTCTTGAGCTCATCACATTATCTCCTCTTGGGTGACTAAGTTTGAGTCCAGACATTTGTCCCTGTCCTGCTTCTGTGGATCCTGTCCCATGCCAGCACAACCATGGTCCATGTCTCCATAAGAACCCATCAGAGAACCCCTCAAAAGTGACCCACAGAAGAGACAGACCCACCACAGCTTCATTAGTGACTCCACTGTCTTGTCCATCTCCATGAATTTAGGAACAAATATCCAGGCTGGATAGTCAGCTCCTCTGCTAACTGGCAGCAACTTTCTCCATACAGCACCATGAACAGCCAAATCTATGCCTATAGCCACTGGGATTTAAGCCTTTGAACAGGCTGGGAAAAACAAAACAAAACAAAACAATAACAGCAAACAAAAAACAAAACTGAAAAACAAAAACCAAGGGGGAAGTTGAAGTGGGGAGGAAGAGAAATTAATAAAGCTGCAAGTAAATTGGCAGTCTTGAAAGGGAGCTCATCAAGCTCAAAATTTAATTTTCTGTTTGGGAGGAGGGCTTTGAGAGAACCACAATGTTTTTATCCCTAGAGAAATTTCAAAGTATTACTCAGCTCTAGACTAGCCACAAGCTCAATATGCAAAGCTGGATTTCACCCAGCCTCAAAGCTCTGGCAATGCTTGTCTGCAAAGTCTGGATGTGCCTATGCATGCAGCAGCACTGAGGGGAGATGGCACAGCTTGCCTCAGCCATTTATACCACTGGCTCTGAGGTTTGCTGCCCTGTGTCTTGGCTCCTGAATAGTTAATTCCAGGTTGTCTCTGCAGACACAGAGCTTCCAGAGAGATAAGCAGGAGAAAATAGGGTCTCTGAGCACCTGGGAGAGCAGCCAGAAGTGGGGAAAACACCTTATGGTCATTACCAGACTCTGGCTGCAGTGGTGTGATGAGACTGGCTGGGTTAGTGCCTGGTTGTCCACAATTCCTGCTTGGAAAGCTTCTGCCCTGCAGTGATTATCCTCCTCTCTCACTGAAAGGAATGGGAAAAGACTGAAGCAAAGGGTGTGCAAATTGCATGCTCTGGGCTGCCTGCACATTCACCCGACTCCTGCCTTTCCCTCTCCCACCCTGCAGTCCATTCTAACTGGTGTGTGCTGGGGAAGCCTTTGAGGGGAAGATGGTCCTGTGGTGTTTACAGCCAACACTACATCCCCAAGCAAGGCCCAGTGCTCAAAGGGCCCCAGTAAAAGGCAGGAAGACTGGAGACCTCTAGTACTGTGGAGGCTTGTGGCTGCAGGGAGGCAGCTTCCCCATCCATGCAGGACACACAAATCCTGCTGTTCTACTTGCACACCACTAGCCAAGATGTACAACCACCCATCTACTGAACAGCATCCAGATGAACCAACCAGCCCTGCACAACACAGACACCAAGAACCACCTGGGAAATGTTGTATTTGAAACAAAATTCTTTAATAGTTTGTACTATAAAGACAAATTAGTGCTTGACTATAGCATGAATAACAAATGAAACATATTAAATATTTCAAAGCTACTGTGCTTTGGAAAACAAGATATGCTGATACATATAAGCCTAATGTTGGTTACCAGCTGGTTTGGTAGGGTCAGTTTGGTGTATCAAAATTGTCAATAAACATTTCTCAGTGTAGCTGTGTTCTACAAGTCACCTGCTACTCATCTATCACAGTGTTATTATCTAACTGCAACAATGTACTGAATTTCAGGAAGAGAAAGTCACAAGTTAGAACTCTGTGTCAATGTTAGAATGTTTGGTTAGGTAATGAACAGGAGATTTCATGTCCACTCCAGGTGGACAGATGGTGTTTGATCAGACTGTAACATCATCTGTGCATTATGCTGAGATCAACAATCAACATGAAATAGCCAACATCAATTTGGAATATCAAGAGAAAAATTAGTTTCTGTTCAGTCTAAGGAGTAACTACTGCTCATGCTGCTTGAAATCCTCTCTTCCAAAATCCAGGGAACAATAGGATACCCAAACAAAGTTCTTCCACACGTTTCATGTGGAAAACATTTTGGTACATAACTTGCTATGAGCCATTTTATTCACCACTGTCTTTGGAGAAACATATATATGTTCCAGAGCTTTGGGGACAGAAGAAGGAATCTAAAATTGTGCTTATAGCTATTCCTGTGGACAAATAAGCAAAAGACCCTTTATATTTTCATTTTTAAAAATCTTAACAATCTGGTCTTATCAATTTGTGTGATATATGTGCAAAAAATCCAAAACTGCAGGCACCCTGGTTTAGGGTCTCACATGAACTCTTAACTTGGCTCTTCTTAAAGCTACAGTTTCATACTTAGTCAAACCTAAAACAATTAAAGAAGTAAAATGGGAGAGTTCTGCAGTAAAGCAAGAGGTTCAAACTGTACATACGAATCCCCCTGCCCCCAGTCCTGTTTAGAGCATCTGGCTGGGACCTCCAATAAGGGGGCTCCACATAAAGTGCTTGCTGCCATGACCTCACACTGCCTGTCACTGAACTACAATAAACGCTTCCTGTACAGCTAAATCCCTCACCCAACTTTCAAAGCCTGGAAAGTTGCAATGGCATCAGGAAGGTGGGTAGCCAGGCTCAAGTTTGAGTCAGAGGCAGACATGTATTGGATAACTAACAGGAAAGACACTAAAAATAGTGCTGGGATTCCTGCAGGAGGAGGATTTTTTAAAAATATTGACCCCCACCTACCAAAGACTTCCAGAAGAAAACACATCCCCAGCTCTCATAAAAGCCTTGTAACAATGAGATCAGGCACTTGGCAGTGGTAAGCAGTTGTGCGTGAGAAACTGAACAAAGAAACCCAAACCCAATTTTAATAGTTAATAGAATGTTCTCCATCTTTAGTTACAGACTCTCAAACAAAGCTGGCAGAAGACATTCCAGATAGGTCAAAAATGCATTCGTTCATGTATAAAACATTTAAAAACATGTCATGTTCCATCCTCATAAAACAGCCTCTAAGTCATCTACAATGAACTGAGCGTAACAGAAACTACATCACTTCTGTGGTGAAGAGAGCAGTAGTCAACATGGAAAGTTAAATGTATAAATAGGAAAACATTCAAGTATCTAAAGTGCAGATACCAGGAGGGTAGTTGATGCAATACTATGAGATCCTGTGCTTAATAATAAAAGTTATTCTCGTTTCATGTAAGATTTCTTAATCTCCTTCTGGCTTTTCTCTGTTCATGTGTAATAAAGACTCCATCATTTATCCCTCTTCATGGCAAAGTCTCACAGTCAAACAGCACTTTGTAGTTAAAGACGCCCACTGCCCAGTTAAAAAGTGCAGATGGGGTTTAAAGTAAACTGAAAGTTTTACCTGAATATGTTAATCTAAATTACAGGGCACACATTCCCCCAAAATGGACGTGTGTTCCTGAATTCTGATGTCTACTAAAGGAAACAGCATGGCTGCTCCATTACAGCTCCTCTGTACTGAATCATTTCACCACCTGCTATTAAAATGCTGTAATATATCCACAGAGAGAAACAGGTTTTAAAAAATGGTATTACTGAAATTCTTGAATGCAGATTAAACAAGGTGATAGTGGCTGCGAGAAACACTGGTAGTACTGGGAGGATTTTCTGTTGTTGAGATTCACATGGAAGTGTTTGATGAAAAAGACATTCAGTTGCTTGAAATGAGGTGTTAGAAGCAAACCCATGATGGCCAAAATAATCAACTGTATTTCAAATCATACAATTCAGCTTTAGCCAAGCAAGACAGCACAGAACAGGATTAAAAGAGAATTTAAACTTATTACAGAGCAATATTTTCTACTCTATCCCTCCCAAAAGATTTCACTACACCTGTCTGAATTGAAGTCCTCCTACTTGAATCTCTCTCTAAAGCAGCCAGACGTACACAAAGAAGAGCGGCAGATGAGCACAAGCTGTAAGTGACAGACACCAAGTAAGTGAGAATGTTTACAGGCAGTGAACAGAGCCAGCCACGAATCAATACAACACTGTTGCCACTCCCAGGGGCTGCACAGTCCAAGTCAGGCTGTGCTGATGTGCACACACTCAGGCAAATGTAATTAAGGGCACAGTTATGGTACAATACATGACAGAGGTAGACCAGCAAGTGGTAGCACTACATATTCCAACTCTGACTGAGGGGAGGTTTTAAACACTCAAGGGCAGCACAGCAGCCCTGTGCTAACAGAAAAGCATTAAGATGAAGTCTGGAGATAATTAATACTGCTAGCCAACAGCATGGATGAATGCTGAAACATGGATGAGATTCCTCCTTACTGAAGAATGCATATCTTGAGCTGTATCTAAAAATCTAAATTCCCAGAATAAAGCATGGGTTTGATCTGTACTGTGAGAGTAATTTCAAAGTTTTTCCTCTTATTTCCAAGAAAGAATTTTTCAGCTCATGGACTGCAGAGCTACTTACTACTCATCTGTGTCAAATTGATGGTTGTATGGTGGCAGATTTCCTGGTTCTTCATAGATGTTAAGGAATAGAAGAGTTCATTGTTATCAAGTCTGTCCCAACACATCCTGTAGAATTCATACCAAATGACACCTACTTCCAGAATTCTCTTTAAAGAGAATTCCAGAATTCTCTTTAAAGTAGCTGCTGTCTGAATGCTACTCAAAAAATAGGATCACATACGACTTGCTAAGATATAGTGCAGGAAAAGCTTGTGATATACTGCTCTAAGGTCTATAGGAAAAAAAAAAATCAACATTATCATACAAGCGATATAAATAAAAAGCAATTACCAGACATTTAACACATTACAGGAGTAAGAATATATGTCTTTCCAGGCACTAGAAAAAGCAGTCTGAATTTCAGTGCCATATAGTTAAAACTTGCTTGTCATTTTCAATATCGCTCACAAGATAAGTAAGGCAGTCAAACCAAAGCACCCATGATTTTAGATTATTTATGCTAAGAAGGATACACAGCTAAATTACATTCCTCAGGGTCTAAAATAGCCTGTTGAAAGAAAGGCTGCTGGCAGGGTGGTAGAGGTGTGCATATTTTTGCTCATTTGGAATGTAGGAAGAAGCCAAATTGCAATTTTTTTTTAAAGAAAAAAACCATCAACAACAAACAATGCATAAATGAAAAATGAACAGCACTATAAAATTAAAATATGAGCTTTTCCATTTTTTTTTAAATCCTGACAATTAAATCCAACAAGATCTGAAACCCCCTCATCACAGACTTCCTAGTTGCAAATGTGTAGAAGAATCAACAAATTTCTTTAAATATAACATTGTAGAGATGCCTGATCAATAAGAAAGTGGCGTTTCAAGACACTCTGGTTCTAGAAAGTGGCGTTTCAAGACACTCTGGTTCTTGCAATTAATTAACTAAACAGAGCCCCCAGATCCTTCAGTAACAAAACTAAGGCCACTAAAAGAAAGGCTTTTTCCATTTCCATAAAAATAGTATCATACCTAGCAGACGTCACAAGTGACTGTTGATATATCTTGCTGCTGCACTGCTTCTCTTAGGAGACTCCTTCCCTAACTTATGAACAAATGTAAACATAGTAAATAAGAAAATGGGATACACTGTGCAGAAAAATGCTTGAGAAAGCCTGGAGGTGAACAGGCAGGCACTTATTTTCAAGCTACATTTTTTTTTGAGAAACAGTTCTCAAATCTCTTTACAAAAAATATGCCTTCTGGATAATTAAAGACACCTGATCCATAACAGCTTTTTCCTACCTCTGTGCTAGTTCTTCTAACTTCTTTCAGTCTGAAGAGCACTCAAATTTCCCAGCACAGATGCTGACCTTGTCTGTGGAACTGGAGCCTACTGACATCAAAGCTGCTAAAAAATTACACTTCACTTGCCTTTGTAGGGGTGTACAGGTTGAAATACACTGCTATCAGCAAATGCTTAAACCTCATTGAACTCACTCAAGGTTAAGTGTCTTTTTCCAATACAGTTTGAGGTTATTTGATCTCAAGAGTCCAAGGCTGTTGCATAACAGGAGCCACATTTTTATTTGGAGGGTCACATCAGTTACTGATGGATGTGAAAGATGCAGAGAAACTCCAAACAGATAAAAGGGAGGAGACCATTTTAGCCAGCACTGATTGTTCAATAGCCAGGACTCTGAGACCTGGGAGATGGCTTTACAGCTGTATTACCATGCTTTGCTGCTGTGAGCACATTGTAAATCAATACAAAATGAGATTTTGGATCAGTCTGAGCCTTTCCCTTTTTTTCTTCATGGTAAGAAGGATAAATCCCTCAGAGCATCAAAAGCAGACAAAAATTGCATAGAATGGCAGCAAGTAGGCACGGAGACTGTTTGTTGCCCCAAAATCAAGAGCATCAAAACCACAGCATATATATGAGGTATATTTTGAAAAACTGTGTTAATGTTTTCTTTACATTTACTTACTAACTTTCATCAGCTGGGTAGATAAGAATTGCAGAAAACAGGGTTTGTCTCCCTCATTAATCCCCTAAGTCTGGTTTTAAAAGGTGGTCAGCTTTCTCATAGACTAAGCATGTGATAGATTAAAAACAAGCAAAGCACTACCCCTTGCATCTGGGGATATCCTCAGCCTCAGTTTTGTTCTTTACTCCTCCTTCAAAGTTTCTGAATAAGAAGATGCTTCTGAAAGTCACACCAATATTTAAGACTTGTAAAGTAAGAGATAGATGAATTCAAAGCTGAACTAGAGAACATCTAAGGTGTTTGTCAATCTGTAGTATGAATGGGAAATGGAAAAATAAAGAAAGGGATAGAAAAGTTAGGCATGTAAATAACAATTACAAAAAAATTATAAAGAGTATTTCTTATGTTTCTACAGTCACTCCACAGTTTTGCAATGAATCACTGGTCAAAAAAATTAGGAATTGAGCTCCCAGACACAAATAAGAACACCTCTAAAGCTTCACCATTTCACGGTCTTCTTCTGGTCACACTTTGGAACATCCTCCCTGATGAACCTTTCAGTTGGACTAAAGAGAAAATGGATGGTTGGTATAAAACGAACTAAATGGCACAGGTATCCCAACCATTTTCCTTAAAATAGAAATTGCAAAGGAGGCTGTTGAAAAGCAAGGTAGAATAAAAGCCTAAATCAACCATTACATACTTCATTAATTGTATAAAAGTGCAAGCTTAAAGTAGTTTGGGTTAAGCATTCAGTTCACTATAGGCCACACAGATGCTTAGCTTGGCCATCAATGGCCTAGTTTTGTCATTCAGTTACTAATATTAGTTTAGACCACAGAAAGAACAAAAACTGAATGAAAAAACGTATGCAATCCACTTCAAAAATGGTTAGTTTTCTGTGACCAGCACGAAATATTACCTCAATATCATCAGCTATACAATATATACATAAAATCCTTGTGTCTTAATCTTTGTTTTAACAACTTAGAATAAAGCTGTACTAAGTGCTGTTTCCCTAGTGTGCCAGCTCTTTGCTCTGTTCCAGCCGACTGGCCTCGAAGCACAGAGAAGTCCTTGAATAGCAATAGTACTTGGACTGATCCATAATTTTGACACTTCAGCCAGAGTAACTGTTGAAATGCTTTATTCAGCCAGGCCGGGTGATTGCGTGTGGCTGCCTCAGTCAAAGGTTCTTGGGTGGCTCCACAAGAAGAACAGGCCAAATTCCAAAAACAAACTGTCAAAAGAAAAATAGGAATAGGGGAAAGATTTCTTGGAATATTTTGTTTCTTGGAACAGAAACCAAACACTATCAAACATAATCTAATGATAGGATGCAAGGGGAATGGCTTTAAAATGAGAGAGTAAGTTCAATTTGCATATTAAGAAGAAATTCTCTACTTTGAGGGTGGTGAAACACTGGCACAGATTGCCCAGAGAAGTTGTGGATGTTCCACCCCTGGAAACGTTCAAGACCAGGTTAGAGTAACCTGGGGGCCCTGAGTACCCTGATCTAGTGGAAACTGTCCCTTCCCATGGCAGGGAGGCTGAAACCAGATTACCATTGAGGTCCCTGCTACCCCAAACCATTCTGTGAATCTATGAAAATTTCAATAGCATTTCTTGGGATGTAAGCAGAAGTCAAAGACAGTACCCTAACAGGCATAATTATTGAGCCCCACCAACAGTTCAAAGCACAAGATATCCAAATGTACATTAATAAATACAAAATACTGCTTGCTTACCTTCACCTTTGGCCTGTGTTTCAGGAAAAGTGTCCTTGTATATAAACTGAGGAGAAGGAAAAAAGTATGCTTAAAATTTCAAGTATAAGACAGCATATAAAATAAGGATGTCCTGATCCCACTTTTATTTTCCAACTATAGAAGAATTGTTTCTGTGATTGCTGAACTACCCATTCTGCCTAGATTTAGTCAATATAGGAGATGTTAACGTCCAGTAAATCCCCCTGTAGCAGACTAATCAGCAAAATAATTTATCCTATCACCTATGAGGGGAGAAAGAAAGAAACTGTGAGAGGTAAAAAAGAAAAAAAAATTAAACATGGACTGGAGTCTGTCATTTCAGAAAGATGAAATTAAATCAGAGTAGCACAAAATATAGCAGATGTTAAAGGGGGGAAAAGCATCAGAGCTTGATTCTATATCTTATTTTTATTCTTACATGCTTTCTCCCCTCTGTAGATCTTTTCCTGTGAATGACCTCACACTTTTCTTAAGTGGTAATGCCACTTTGTGGCATGTTGGAAAAACCTTGCTTATGCTTGCTTCCTGCAAGGAATTTTCTTTAAAAAAATTACCTCAAGCTCTTTAGGGTAGCAGACAACCTGTAAACCTAAATGGAGCAACTGTTTTCCATATACCTTGACATATTTCTATGTATATCTACATTTACATATGTGTTGGTAAATAGGTTTGCATATATATACACACATAAATGTAACTATGAGCTATCAGATCATCTAATGGAAACGTACTTATTTTCCTTGCATTTTTCTTTTGTTAGGTATTTTAACATCTGACAAAAAAGGTGAAAACCATGTTAGATGTAGAAAAATTTATATATAAGCAATTCTTGACTACATAGGATGTAAACATAAGCCAGACATTCTCTTTGTTATGGGTTAAGTGGTAAAATATTAATTCATTAGACGACAAATGAACTGCAGAAATTCTTCAGATTTCAGCTTATATTCTATTCTTGCCTCTGGTTCCACTAGATGGTGGTACAGAGCAAAAATGAGATAAAAATCTGTTGGTTCCAGACTTGCTAACTTAAATTCTTGTTTAAGTCTCTTGGTCAAACTAATACCTTGCCCTTTTGGGAACAGCTCCTCTACAACTACTTCAGCCATCACCCCTGTGCACTACAGCAGGATGTCTGCTGGTTTTCAGGAGTGACAGTGCCTATCAAAAGATTTGTTAAGCTCCTAAATTTAAGCATGTTTAAATACTTCAGGATTGCTGCTCAAGAACAGACAATTAATGGCTTACATTCTGAAATTAATATACTGTCAAATAGTTTTGGTTTAACTGCCACAGGGCTCCCATTTCTGAATTAAATTTTCTTGAAGAACCATGACTATTTAAAGACTAGTGATTACATTTTGAAAAATATAGATGAGTTTTAGGGAGTTTTTAGGTCAGTTACAAAGAGGAAAGAAAACCACACACCAGTTTAGTAAGTCTTTTTCCTGCTCTTCTGCTTGGTACAACATTCTGAAGTACATCTGAACCTGATAAAACTCGTAAGAGCTCTGTGAACATCCAGTTTAGAAAACATTTCCTACCTTAGCAGGATATGAAGGTAAGAACCCAGGCCTGTGAGAATATGCCACCATGCATGAAACTGTGTCACAGCTCCCACCACGGGAGGCATCTTCTCTCGTAACGCTCTGAAAGAAAGAAATATCATGCCATGGAATATTTTTTCCCAGCTAAGCAATCTCAAATCACAATGTTGGATTATCAGATCACACATTATTGTTTCCATATCTCAGGCGTGTGATGGACAGGTGAGGCTTCATGAAGTGAGGCTTTCAGCAGGTGAGGCGCAGCAGTTATAGTTTACACTGCTAGTACAAAGAAATATCAGCAAACTGACTTTCTTATACATTTAAAGAAAACAGACATTTCTGCATATGATGAGTGATCAATTACTTCTGGACTCAAAAATATATTTATGGCATCCCACAGTCCCAAATGTATTCTACCATTCTCCTCCCCAGAACCATGTGAACTATTTTTGATAGGATGAAATGTTGAGTTTAAGGTCCAAGAGAGAAAATGAGATTTATCAGACATCATCACTTTAAATCTGGCAATCACACCACCTATTCTGCAGGTCCATGCAACCTCAACTTGCCTTTCTCTGTTGGACTCTAAAACAGGGACAAAATGGGTATTAAGTGAGGAAGCAATTAAAGTAGAGGGTGTGAAATACTCCACCAACATGCTTTGTATTTTGTAGTTATGGGGTGTGAGCAGCTTGGGAAGGGGCTAAGGGATGGAGATAAAGAAATGAAGAAAAGGAGCTACACATTGCCCTTATTTCTCCTGCTCTCTGCTCTTTTGCAGATAATGCAGATATTTTGGTTGACGGCGGAGGAACTGTTTGCATCTGCTGGTCTTTTTTTTTTTTTTTTTCACTTTAATTTCACTTGTCAAATTAAAACAACCATTTGATGTGTTAAGGAAGCAAAATCTGCAGCTCCTGTAATAAGTCCTTAGTGCTTGATATTACAGTGCTTTGTCCAAAGCTGTTCAGTCACAAATATTAGCACACAGCTTTAACTGAGTCAGCCCAGCAATGACACAGTGGAACATGCAGCCTGACAGCCCAGCACAACCTTTGAACCTTTGGATGGTAGGAAATTTCAAAGTTCAAATTCAAAAGTGTGTAGTTCCAACAAGACAAACTGAATGCTACAGACTTCTTGTTATTTTGATTGTTTTTTTTTAATAAGCTGCAGATTTACTGAAATATGGAACAAAAAACCCTGAATCAAAATCCAGTTTTGAACTTTAAAACCAAGAGCAGGTAGGTGGATGATTCACAAGTTAGACATTCAGAGAATAAAGAATTTCAATGCATTTAAATGTATTTTCCCCAAAGGTTCAAATTATAATACCTCCTGGATAAATCCAAGGCTCTGCAGATGTCTAATTAAACCTAGTAAACAAGCATATTTTTTTTTCTAGCATAATAACCACACAAGTATTACAGGAAAGACACTAACATTTTTTCCCCTTATGAAATGAGGATGGAAAAAAGTGCCTCAGCAGCTGGTGTCATTTTTGGGCCTAGGAACCAGTTCAAAAGCCCCATGGACCCACAGCAGCTCAGCAGGTTTGGTGCATTGAGGGTTGTGATCTCACCAGTGATGTGAGGCAGCTGCAAAATTCAGCCCTGATGCCAATTATTTGGAAAGTAAACCCAGGCCACTTGTGCTGCCGAATAACTACTCTATCCCATCTGTATCAAGCGCTCCCAGGGATGAGGATCATGCATTATATTAATTTAAAAAAAGTTTCAAGAATACTCTGTTGGAATAAACTTTCAGCTGGCTTAACCTAGCACAGAGATTAAAGAGCCAGAAGAGATGGAAAACTTTAGACTTCTTTACAGCACACTGTTCTTTGGCTCTGACAAACCAGCCTACTAGGACAATTCTGTACAACACAGACTCCGTGGCATAACAGTGGTTTTAAATTGTCAAAAATTTATTTTTCTTGATGCTGGAATTAACCTTTCCATCTCCTCCAGCTTGCTGAACAATACATGAATTGCAACTAAGTGCTGTTTACTGGTGCCATGGATATTGAAATAGGTATTTCTTGAACAATAGTGGCGGTTGTTCTGCATGTCTTCTTTAACATTCAGAACTACTGTTTTTTATTTTCCTAAGAAATGGAAGAGCAGGAAAAAAAAACCCAACCAAGCGAGCAGGATAAAAACACATTCAGATGAAATCAAATGTTGCTTCAGTGAGTCACAGGTCCTCAAAATTATGTGACATTATTTCTCTCAATTCAATTGGAAGTTAAAAGAGAAATAACAAAAAAAAAAAATCTATAAAATTAAAAAAAAAATTTAAAAAACCCTGTTGAGTGCCAACTCTAGTCATGAGTAATCTGCATAAAATCTCATTGATGTTTTGTAGGCAGCATACCATATATAGAATGAGATGGACTTGAATATGCACCTTAGAAATAATCCAATCTTTATACTTAAAGGCTATTAAGAGAGATCCAGACATGTGAAAAAACTCACCTCAATTTATCACAGAAAATGTTGTCCACGTTCCAGAGAAAAAATCCCATTAAAAATACAGTTAAAGATGTATAGCCTAGACCTCTAAGCCATGGGTACACCCTAGGGAGAGAAATAATGCAGAGTTTAGTTCCGAATGCTTTAAGATGCAGAAATATACTGCTATATCCTACACTAAATATGTGTAAATACAGAAATGCTGTTATATGTAAATAAAATTCTTTATTAATTTGGTTTATTCCTCAAAAGAAACAAATACCAACTTCAAATTTCATCTGCTTCAATATTGTATTTTACTTCTCTCTCCTGATCTCATATTCTCTGAGACTGTTCTTTTACTTCTATAATTATAATTGTTTTCCTAAATACTGCATTCTCTGAGTGAAAAGTGGGAAAACTAAAGTTGACTAAAAGGTACTAATTCTTCAGTCTTGTGTATGTTCTTTCATTAAGAAAAAAGAAAGAAAAAAAAAAGCCCTGTTACAAGTAGGACTCTCCCAAAAGAAGAGGGTCTTTGCCAAGAGATATCTCTATATTAGGGAATTTGTATTATCTTTCAAAATTACTCTTTTGTAAATGTAGACCACCATGACCAACAACTAACCAAATGAATAGTATTAAACCCCAGTACATTTATGTTCATCTTTCAATTGAATGCTACTGGGAATAGAAAAATGTAAATTTAATTTTGGCAGAAAAAAAAATCTTCTTTAAGATATGGAAAACACACTGAAGAATCAGATGCAAGAAAGTACATCATTAATAAATTTACTGTCCCTAGCTACATTCAGGTTGGACCATGAAATTGTAAGCTTCCTACATGGAAGGCTCCTTTCCCACTAATAAGATAAGTCTAAAAGCAAAATCCAGCCCTGAAAGGCTGCCATGAAATACTGTCCAAGTTATTTTTAAGCATTATGAACGCACAGTTGAGATTCTGGGTTAAAACACATTCTTGAGCTGCCTTTTCCTCCACTGTGTGTGTTATAGCACATTTCAGAGCTGTGAGCACTGGGAACCAAAATGTGCAAAACACAACAGGTAGCTTGCCCTGTGGAAGAAGCTCTAGCCAGATACAAGCTGTACAAGTCACAAATTGACTGCCAATATAAACTAGCAAAATTATTATTTGTTTAGTCTAATAAATGTGTGGAGCACCATGCAGCACATGGCAAAGATTACACTGTAATATTACCCCCTCAGTGCTCCAGAGACATAAGCAAGACCATGACAAGACAGAGCACTAAATGGTATATTAAACATGCTGGTAATTAGGTAATTATAGCTGGAATTATTGAGGAATAAACTGGTGTTTTGTGAAGGAATCAACTGGCATCACTTCTAATAGAGAACATGCTTTGTTAACAGAGAACAACATTTGCCCAGTTGTAATCTTGGGAAGAAACAGACCTAAGAAAGAGATGAAAAGTGTTGGGGGAAGAGGCAGGAAGAGGAACAACTGGTGAGGTTAAGATGAGGTAGTAGCCTGGAAGGAATAACATGCTATTCTTTGGAATGTTCACTCTAATCTCAGAGTGACTTCAAGACCCGCACTAAGAAATATGAGTGATGGGAAGTGAAGTAACAAAAAATAAGCAGAAATCAGGGTCAGTATGTAAGCTGGAAAAAGCTTGGCCAAGTGATGGAAATAGCTAGCACTACTGATGGAAATACAGGAATATGTTCTAGCCATGCAGAGACAGTAAACCCAAAAGTGTGCTTGAGGACAAATTTTAGAGAAAAGAAAGGGTACCTTCTTCAGGTTGGCAGAGCTTCTCTAGTAGAACTAATTTAAAATTAGTAGTAGTTTAGTTAAAATTTAGAAGTAGTTTAAACCTACTTCTCTTCCCATCCCAAGTTTCTACCCAGTTTGCATAATAACACCAGCGGGGGAAATAAGTCTTTGTAGGGTGCTGATGCAATGAAGTGATCAAGCTAATTAAGAAGATACACTCCAAGCTATAAAACTGAAGTGGAAAAGTAGGTGGGACTTCAGAGATAGACTTTGCTGGAACAAAACAATCAATGATACTTTGGGAGGGAAGGTGGTGATGTTATTGATAAAGACAGAAGACTATTAAATGCTTCAGAAATAATGAGAATGCATTACTGTGTGGAATTTACAGAAGTAGAAAAATAGCAGGCCCAAGAGTTTGTCTGTATAGACAAAAAGAAATTTAATCTAAAAGACTAGAACTGTGTTAAATCCTTGAATAAGAACCAAATTAAAATTACTTCAATTTGATTCAATTTAGTTCCTCTTGGAGGTGAATTAATGTAGTATCACTTAAGATCTCTAGGCAAGGATTAAAATTTCCAGTCCATAGGTTTAAAAAGTGCCTTTAAATTGATGATTGTTTCTGAAGCTGCAACACACTATCAGTTTTAAATTCTTCTTGCTTAATAAAAAAGTCTGTGAACATTTGTACTTGGTTGGTGGGAACTTTTTGGGGAAAGCCAAATCATGTGAACTGAAATGGCAATTGGAAGGTGATTCAATGAATGTACTTGATCCTTGTGGGTCTCTTCCAACTCAGAACATTTGAGGATTCTATAATACTTCAAATGCTCATTTTGTTAAATTCTTCCTTGTGTTCCTGAACAGACATATGTGGAACTTGAAACAAAGTTTGACAAGAAGTACATTTAAAATGATGACAGAAGAAAGAAGTAAGTTATTTTCAGAAGCAATCCACAAAGGCATGAGAACTCCAAATATTCACAGGAGATAGAAGTGGGCAACCAACTGAGCCTCTGAGAGCTAAAGGTATGTGTTTACTCCAATACTGATTAAATTCCATTTTCCTCCCTTTTACCTACCAAGTCTGTGCTCTAATGATTCTAATGCTTCTCAATGGCTCCTAGAGCTTTTAATACGTTTTGTTTGTTACAGTTTCAATTTCCATTTCCATAGCATTATGCCTAACTTTATCCAATCAGATCTATAAGAAAAACTATCATATGCTATTATTTTTTCAATACTTGAGCAGGGAAGAGGAAAGGAAATTACTAAGTGATGATTCCACTCTGCAGTCTTACTCTTAGCACTCTCCCAGTATTATCATTAGAGTTTGGACACTACCAACAGATTTCATACTACCCAGCAATTTGAAGACAAACTCCATCTCTTGTTAAATCCCAGTCTAACAGCTGAAGGCACCAGCAGAACACCTGACAGCAAACACTGATCGTAAGTGGAGAAATCTCAGTTTAGTTTAATGTTATCCCAGTGGCTTCAAAGACGTGCAAGGTGATGAGCCAATCCCTTTCAACTCAGGGGAGCCCAGGGTTAACATCATGTACCTAATTAAAGAAATTCTCCCATTGCCAATTTCTTATCCTAGGCTGACCAAAAAAAAAAAAAAACCAAACAAAAAAACCCAAACAAACAAACATGCAAAAGCTATGTTCTAATTTACAATGATAAATTAAATGGTTACTTACCATAATACTATATAAACAGATCTTAGAACTATGATGGAAACTAGTGTTCCATACATGATCTGAAAATAAAAAAAGAGATAAAATTCAGCAGTTGGGTTCAAATGATCATATAAAATACTACAGGAGTAAAAAATTTTTGAAGCCTCTGGGTTTTTTGGGTTTTTTTTTATGTCTCAGGAAATAGCATTCCTTCTAACTTCACCTCCAGAAAGCCTTCTATTAAAGTTTCAAATAAAGGTATGATTATAAATCATGTCCTTTATACAATTACAGGAAAAGTCAGTTGTGTAAAACCAATGTTCTGCTATTCTGAATCAGAAAGCAAACACTAGATGGCACTCCGAAAGCATCCTGAGATCAAAAACTCTAACTAACTCCTATTTTCTCTTCTCTGTATATTTTAGCCCAGGATTGTACAAGCATCAGCTAAAGCTGTTTTCGAAAGCTCTGCTTCTTTCATTGATACTTGATTAATATGTTTTCCTGAAAGCAAACACCTGAACAGACTATGTGCTATTCCCACACTGAGCATCACTATGGGGAAAAACTTTCCATGAAGCATTTCAAACTATTACAGATTGTTTGAATTCAATCTAATTATATAGTGGGAAGGCTGCACAGTCTGAAAAGATCCATGAGCAAAATCTGATTCACTGTAGGCTTGATGAATTTGAATGCAATCACCTGACTTATAAAAAGTCAAAGTAATAATTTATTTTTTGCCTCATGATCTTTAAATCACTCTCTTTTATTCACAAACTTAAAATCCATGTAACACCACCTCCAAGATGTACAGATTAAAGAAGATAAAAAATGTGGCCAGTCATGCCTGAGAGTGATGCAGAAGTCACTACAGCAGGGAGGATTTTTAGACACTGGTGACATTCAATTACTGTCTATATTTTTTATTCTGAACACTCTTTTCCTCCTGCCAAAAGGCAGTTTGTTCCAAGCAGCTGTGCCTTGCTCTTTTTGCCTCTACCCCGTGGCCTACAGGCCTCCCAGTGTTTTTTTCTTTCTTGTTCACTGACTTAACTTTCTCATCTTGCTTCTAGTTAGCTACTATCTAATTCTGCCTTTGTTTAACATTAAACAGAAAAATTATATACTTTTGCTGTCTTTTTTTAAAAGCCACTAAACCTCACAGAAAGAAGTGTGCATACAAACCGATGTCCTTACCATGTTCTAGTGACCTCCTCATACCCCTCCCTTTTTTTTTTTGATTGTCTTTGAGACAGGGACTGCCTCTCACTCTGCTGGAACTGGGGCATTCAGATCGTACTATCCTGAAAGCATGTCTAGGCATCTCACATAAAACAGGTTACTGCAATAATGCAAAGTGAAACCCTCATTCCAAAAGTCCATAAAGACAAATTTGCAAACTCGCTTTAGCTTTAAGGATGAGGTTAGTAGCACACATTGTATTATCAGGGCACATATACAGGGCAAGACAGACAACAGAGCCCTTATGTCTAAGAACAGGTAAATGTGAGCTCCAATACTGACTATTCAAAGTCAGTCAGCACAGCAGCTCTTAATTTGCATTCAGAACAAGATTAAAGAACTTCAGTAAATAAACTACTACTACTGAGTGTTCTGCTCTGTAGAGCTAAACAAAGCAAAAGTATTTGAAAGGCTAATTGCTTCTGGCTTGTAATTTATACAAAGCTGTTAGTTATTTCCAGTCCCCTTGTTGGGGTGCAGCATGTAAACCAGCAAAAAAAGAAAACCAATACAACCTGCTAGACACTGCCTGAGTATCAAGAGCTTATCAGTCTCAAGCTAAGGATAGGAAGGGGATTGCTCAGGTGTGCTAGGTTGCTGCTTGCTGGTACAATTCTTCATTACTGACATTTTGGCTAAAAAGATCCCATCACATAAATACATTATCAGCCTCATTTAAAACAGCCCTTTTCATTTTTTTCTAATCAAATCCAACAACTTATTCTAAGAGAGGGATGGTATTCATAGAAAGGCTCCTCCAGGATCCAAATTACAGTTTGATTTGCTGATCTTCTCCTTCTTAAAATTTCCATCACTAAAATACTCCTTTGCAGTAGAGATATGGGGAAAACCTATCCATTAAGAGCAACTTCTGTCATACACATTAGGGGTTGTGACCACCCTTATGCTTGTACACAAATTGCTTTTGGATTCTTTGTACAGGGAGTTCAATAGTGTCAGACTCTGCCTAGAGAAACAGATCTTACAGGTAGCCCAAAGCCCAGGTAAAATATTACCTTTTTCAGCAGTTGCTAAAAGCAGGAAAGAGCAAAAGCTAAGAAAAGCTTTCTTTGCAGAGTTTCCGGCTTGGTATTTCCTACTGAGTTAATGGCTTGCAGAAGAGGACAGTATTAATGGAGGAAGGAAGGGGAAAAAAAAAAGAAAGAGAACCTTGCAGTGACTGAAGAAAAACATGCCCATCGTTGACACTTCAATTTCTTGCCTTTTCTGCTTCCCATCCCAAACAGATTGTTAGCAGTAAAACACATTTGTGTTCAAAAGCCTGTGAAAGCCAGAACAACAAACTGTTCTGCTCTACATGCTCCAATCCTCCTTGCTGAAGGTGAGCACCCAGGAGGTGCTGCTGTGATATACAGAGACTGCAGCTGCTCGTCTCCCTCAGCTGTTTCTTACTAGAGGGTTACACACCAAACTGCACAACTTAGTTCAAATGTCAGGCAGCAGTGCTTACTTCATCTCTTTTAGCATCCATGGCTTTACTATTTTTATTATGGTAAAACTTTGTTAGGCATTACTCATCCACCTAGAGAAGGACGAAGTACAGTATTATACAAAAAAAAGAAAAATCTGCCTTATTTAGCTCAAGTTTTCCCATTTCTTTAACTTCCTTTGTCCTTCGTTTCTTTAACTAAACATAATTTAAGTGACAGATGATAACCAAAGCAAGTTTTCTGCTATTTTTTTTTACACTGCCATTAAACTGAAAGCAAAGAACATCATTTTACTGCAATTGAAACAAAAGGAAAGATCAGAATCTCAATCTTCTGTTATCAGTTCCCTCTTTGCTGTTTCAGATGCAAATAAAGCTCTGCATATTTCAGCTTTGAAGGTATCTTTTCAATTGAGGGAAAAACCCAAAGTCTGATGAAGATACAGTGGATTACCTCATAAGAAGGTAGAATATGAAGAACTTTCTAATTCACAAATGGGAAGTAAGCACTTCAGGGCTCAATGTCTGGCAGCTTTTTTAATGTGGAGGCAATTGAGTAAATCATACATAAATTTACTTATGTAAGCTAGAAGCAAGGTTGGTACTCAACACTGACAGGGTTCCTCATCTACCCTTCTAGTACAGAAAGCAGAAATAGCCTGCTATTTCCACTTCTCTGTTTCCTCTGCTCCTGGCTTCTAACCATCTTTGGTTAATAAAGTCAATTTATCAGCCTCAAATATTAGTATACACATTGGGCACTGTACTGAGAGATTTTGGGTTCTTGGCAAGCAGCTTATCTAATACTCCAACCAGCTATCAGAAGATAGTTACTTAAATATTTGAATATGGAAGTTGTATTTGCAATTTGCAACAAAGAAAACTGAGTTCTACATGGGTTTGGATTTCTGGAGAAGAACTCTGAGAGAAAAAGGAAGGACAACTCCAAGATGACACTGAAACACCGAATAACTCAGCACAGTTACAGCTGTGTAGTACCACAGGCTGCCTTGACAGCTCTCGAACGAATTAACTCAGATTCACTGGGTTTGGTCCTGTTTAGATGCATGTATGTGATAACAAAATGACACACAAGTGCTGATGTAGTTTCTGGTACACTGTCTGCCACAGAAAGTCCTCCTCAGTGACTTGTAGAGCTGAACCTTTGGAGAGTCAGAATATCCTTCCTCATTCCTTAAGCAGGTAGAAGCATCAGCCAGAATGAAAGCTATACTTGCTTGGGAAGACATCCCCAAATGAACCATGAAAGAGTGAAATGTCACGCAAGTTAGTTTTATATGTGCTCCTCAGCAGGACAATGACAGAACAGAAAAAGCTCTGTGGTAAAGACACACCTGAAAAGGTCATTTTGAACAGAATACTGGGGAATCTGAATGTACAGAAAGTAAAAACACATTTCACCAAAAGGCACAATATATTAGCCACAAGCCTACAATTAACTATTGCCTTAGTAGCAGGAGGGACTCTGGAGAGGTGTAAGACATCCAGTGGGTCCACACAGATTCCCCAAAATGGTGAATCCTGCAAGTCTGAACAGACACAAAATATTCTTCATCTAGTTTCAGGCTCCCTTACATACTTCCATACTTCTACATGTTTCATCTGGATTTCACTGTCTTCTTTGCACTTGTATATTTAAAACACCCCTAGAGAAAAAGTCTATTAATTTCTTTTTAACGAGGCAAATGAAATGCGTTTTCCTGCCATGCTTACTTTCTTCCTCTTACTCAAAGTCACCTGAAGAAGTAAATCCAATACTTGCATTTTACATCTGTCAAAAGTAAAAAAAAATTCCTGATCATGTTGTTATGCTGTAAACAGTGAACACATCCCGGCACTCCCTCCCCTGCTTTAGTGATCTATGAATAGTTTAGAACAAGAATAGTTCATATTTGTCCATCAGTGCCTCTCTTCCATTTTGAATCAGTCCTCATACTCATCCTCCAGGTATCCAGTTATCTCTTCATTTCCCCCAAGTACTCAGTGATAACTCTGAGTTTTGTACCATCACAAATACTAGCAGCACACTCTTCTTTTTCCTGCTACAGGTTGTTAAAAAATAAACCAACCAAACAAAACAGTCCCACTACTGATTCCAAGAAAATTCAGGCTTTCTCATAATCTCCTTTAGTAATTTTTCACTGGCCACTACCTTACCCTATTTGCAACTCTCCTACTGATCTGTTCCTCCAGCTGGCTTGGTTTCTTATGTGACACCACAAGAACATTCTAGAATGCCTATTTTTTTACATCACATTTCCTAATGTAGAAGAAACAGCTATTCAATCTAATTTTCCATTAACTTTTTAACTATTTGTTTGTTAAAATTTGCCTCAAACCGTCACAGCAGGTGACTACACAAATAAAGCAGGTTTTTAGAACTATTTTTCTATTCACATAACTTGGCCCGCTCGCTGAATGAGGGTTTTGATCACTCCAAGTGATCAGATATGGCATGCAGCAAGCAGACAAATCAGGATGGAACATGTTGCTTTGTATGTGACAGCTTTCTAGGCCCCATCATATTAGGAAGAAGGCTACTTGTGAGACTTGAGCTGAAAGTTTAACTTCCGGAGGAACTCTCTGTATGTCTGTGGATCAGTTCACTCTAGCAGCCATTCTTCTCCTGCCCCTTTCTCGTATACATGTGGCAAACAGGGATAAAGAACTAATCTGATTTAAAATTAATTCCGAGGAGAGTTTTTGTTGAGTTCCCCAATCAAATTCACGTCAGAAAATAAATTTGTGTGCCAGATGGAAAAGAGGGGAGAGGCACAGCTGTTTTGTGTGACAATGGTCTGCCTTAAAAACAACCAGGCAGCTGGGAACTAAGGTTGGTTAGCACCTTGAAAATTAGGACTAATAGTGCTCTAGCCTGAGATATTTGAACAGAAACAAGACAATATATTCCTGTAAAGGCCATTAATATATTTTATTTTATTGATGAGGTGGCAAAAAATACTAGACCACTTATCAAACAAGGAATTGTTTTCTTCCTTCTAATGATGTGCTACCTCCAGCTGCCCAAAACATGCATTCCTCCTACAGCTGAAGCACTAAAACACTTGAAGATCTCCCTTAATATGTGGGTGCAGAAAAAGAAGTTGGTCTCTATTGCTATTATGCCATGGATAACAAACTGAAATCACCTCTGTGCCCTGCTGGCAGCTGGCAATTTATGAGCCTAAATTGGAAAAACAAGTAGAAAGTAATTTGGTGAAAAATGAGCATTGGAGCCTGGTTGCTAAATATAATAGGTTTCTTTTTTCCATTCTTACTGGCCTCCTTCCAGAGGAAAAAAAAAAAACAAAAAAAACCAAAACACAATCCATACTGAAACAATGAGCAATAAAAAATCATCCTCTTTTTCCAAGGCTGACAACTTAAAATGATCATAGACGAACACCTAGAGGAACCAAATGCTGCTTTATATCCTGATGCTACTTTCTAACCCAGTTGAACACACTTTGATTTAAACTATGATTACATTAACATATTTAATTTTATTTCAAATCTAAGTGACTTGAAAAGCAGTTTGAAAATGCTTACAGAAATTATTTAACTTTTTTTTTAATGCACTCTAAAATAATGTAAAAGTATTAAGAAAAAAGCCTTGTTTAGCTGTGCAGTCAGGGAAATATTTCCTCAGCATTTACTATGTATTTGGCAAAGACTGTGAAAAAATAAGTACAGTACTTGAACATTTGCAATTCGGCCATAAATGTATGTTCTCCATAAAAATCAATTTGCAAAGAATTGTTGTAAGAAGTCCAACACTTTTATGGGATCTAAATATTTTCTACATTGATTCCCTATGTATAAATTATAACAGGGACTTCATATTCTGAACCTAAGAGAAACCATATGCAGAAAATTAAAGGTCTGGGACAACAGTTTAAACTTTTGCTATTTCCCTCTTTCCCAAAAAGTTGTATATCTATTGTTTTAGTTTTTGTGACAAGGGGCAACACCTATGTCAATGCATCAAACAATGTATTGTACTATAGTGAACCTGTGATGTATTTATTCCAATAAATGCAGCTTGGGCAAATAAGTGATTAAAAAGATAAAAGTTCATTATAAATAGTAAATTTTGCCACTGTTGTTAACAAAACTATTCTAAGACACTTCATTCAAAACCAGTTATGACCAGCACAGTAAAAGCACCAGAAATTGTCACTTTCATTCCAGCTAGTATCTTTCTGCTGGAAATGTAAATCAGGAAAAAAAAAATAAAGGATTTAATTGATAAAATAAAATAAAAAAAAAAACACTGCCATTTTCTATTTTATCTACAGGTATGGTAACAATTTATGTTTCTAGGGGAGATTATCTGGAGCAGCTGAAAATTTATTCTCTTGATCAGCACTTCACTAATCCACCAACAGGAGCCAGTTATCATTTTTACAACTGCTGATGCAGCACACACATTTTGACAAGCAGTGGCACTAACAATTTCTAAAATTAAGGCTTTAAAGTTATGTCCTGCAAAGAGCTCTGTGCTTTTTGCTTGGCAATTTTTCAGCTGTTATCCCTAATCAAAAAAATCATAAATGAGGGAAAACTACCCATGGCATACAAAAATGAGCATAATTTCCAACCTCCTGTGAAGAGATAAGCGATGCAAGTCCTATCTCTCCAGGCAGGGGATGCATATTAATACTCCTGGGCTGCTGCAAAAGGAGCCTGTACCAAATATCCAAATATTCCACTAAGCCTCTATAAAGCAGTCTGCTACATAACCCTAGAAGGCATTCTGTGCTTAAACTCACCTTGAATTTCCACCAAGTAAAACTGAGTAGTTTAAAAACCCAATAAACAAATGTGTTAAAGCAGAGAGAAAAATGTGGTGCTAAGTCAATCAACACATCTTATGATGTAAGGTCATAATTTCAAAGCAGCTGCTGATGGAAAGCAGCAGAAAGACTCATTTAGCTGTTCTTCTCACACACCTTAGGGTCACCTTATTACACTTGCCACTGATGAAAACCATGGGAAATATTAGGTCACAAGCTAAAACACAACGCACATTGAAGCATTCTGGTTTTTCAGGTCACTAAGTAAGGCGACACGACAGGCAGCAATACTGTTCAAAGAAAAAGCAAATGGCAAATTGCGCTTCCCTTCCATCCTTCTTCTAGCAGCAAAATACCCTAACAAATTCCACTAAAATAGCATAGTTGAAAACCAAAATTAGCTGCTCCAACAGAACAAGATTTACCTGATGGAATACAGGCTCTTTCAAATCTAGGTAAACCTGGAAAGATTCAAAAAGAGAAATAATTTGCAACAGAACCATCATAATATTATTAATCTAAATATTGCCAAGGTTAGGATCAAGCCATGAGCCTATCCATGCACCATTAAAATTGAATATCAAATATTTGAAGTTTCATCTGACAGAACCTGAGATTTTAACTGTGGGATTATTTTAAACTAAGAAGCACAAATATCAATATTAACAACTAACATAAGGCTTCTAATTTAGTAGAGTTGACTACACACAAAACTAATTAAGATGCTGAAGTTACCAGATGTTCTCAATACACATTGCAAGAGGAAAACATACTGAACTCTGATTTGCTTTTATTGTTTTTCACAATAATTTAATGTTTCAATTCATTTTACAAAAAGCTAATAGTTCTTCCTATTTGTAATACAGCTAATTTAATTTATGTTCTTGAAGAGGGAATGACACTAGACCTCAGGCATAATGTGCCACAAGTGTAAAAGATTTCAGGAGAAATAGAAGAGAAGAGGCAAGTATTTTGGCAGCTGAAGATGACTTATAATAATACTTTAATTTTTGAAGAAATGGTTATCAATAAAAATTACATAGGAAATTCCATCTGTGGTTGACAGGATAAAACTGAATTTATTAATAAAGAAAGAACACTCCATTGACAAAGGGAGTCAAGTTAGGTGTGACACAAAGAAAATTAGAAACATTTTAACAAACAACTAAGTTCTTCTCTTATTCTGCCTGTTTTAGAACACCAGTCTGCATCATGGACTGGATCTAACAGTTCACTTTTTTGCAGTCAAACAGAATTATTCTTATTTCTACAGATGAATTAAAGTGAGAGAAGGTGAGGAACACAGCTTATCCAAGGTCTCATATCAAGTCAATGGCAACTGTTTTTCTCACATTTCTGTTCTAGGAACTGGATTATTGCTTTTCTTCCTTATTTATTCTATACAGTGGTTTAGATAGAAGGGTTTTAGATTTCTCTGGCCAGCAACATAATTTTCCCAACAAAAGAATAATTTGTCTTTCTTGACTGGAAGTGACAGAGATTTAGTATTGCCTCTACAACATTTCTCCACTGTCAGAAAAACTGCCAACCTAAGGGTGAAAATGCCATATTAGAAAAGTTACTTACTATGCTGACTACGACGCTGTATGTTATTAACAAGAAAAGCAGTGCATAATTGACTGTATTCTTGTACTTGAAACATTCATACCTGGAAGAGAGGATAAAGGACAGAGATTCACTTTCATCACTTACCATATCATGGATGCAATTTCCAAGGTATAATATTAAAAATTTTGTGAGAATATTGATCCAAATTAGTCTTAGGCCCCTCAAGGAATTCTAACTCCTTAAATAAAGACACATTATTTTAAGGAAAAAAATCATGTTCTTACCAATAAATGTTTTTTTTAAAAATCTAAGGCAAAAAAGCCCTAACACCAAGAAGCTCAAGCATGTATCAAGAAGTAACCCACTCTAAGAAAAGAGTTTGTGAAGCAGAAGTGTTTTCAGAAGGTGCTTACAGGGTGATAATGGATGGCATAATAGAAATTAGTTTAAAATGCAACACAGCTGTCAAAAACATTACTGAGCAAGCAGCAGTGTAGGAAAAGGATTGCCTTACAAAACACTGAACTCAGATTTGTTAAAATGTAGATTGTTTATGGCTTCACTACAGGTGCAGTGCAGTACCTCTGCTAGACTGGGTACTGGTAAAAGTGGAAGGTAAAAGCACCTGACTGCTCTCAGTATGTAAAACCAACAAAATTAACTTCACAATCTCTACACTACACCTCAGTCTCAGCTGTGATGGAAATACATGCACATCTCAGACTGTATCTACATAAGACAAAAGTCTAAAATATCCCCAAAAAAATGAATTTTGAGAAGCACATTATCGTCAGTGCTGGAGGAAGCTGTCTATATAGTTCCAAGTTAAATCTGTCTAGCTCCTTTGTTTATAAACTTGGAGAAATAGACGCTATCATGAATTGATAAAAGGAAATAAAATAAAAACACATCTGATAAAAAAAAAGTCTAAATGCAGCACAATGTGCTACACGGCAAAATGGCTTGCTGAAGTAATTACACAGTTTGAGAATCAGCAGAACTGAATGATGTATAAGGGAATGTCCTGTGCAAACCAAAACAATTATTAAAGGCCTCCTAAACTACACATTAGTTCATTTTTTAGAACATTTTAATTGCTACTAGACATACATGCACAGAATCTTACTGAAATTATAAATGTAGTAACAAACTTCAGTGTTTTTGAAGATAATAAAGTAACCACTGCACTAAAAAAAAATTCAGATAGATTTTTATAGCCACTTCTCATCCTTTTTTACAATCACATTCAAATCAGACAAATGCAAAGGCAATTTCAAGGAGATAGGGAGCTACAATGGAAATATTTATACTAAAAGAGGCATTATGATTCTGGTCCTGAGTTTGTACAAATCACACTAATGTATGAGTCACAAATGGAGGGCAATTTCCATAGATAGGGGTTTAGTCCTAAAGCATCCCATCTCCATTGCAAACTACCATAATCTTCACCAAGACATCACAATTTTAAACAGACGAATATTTGATATGTTCAAAAGCAAAAAGACTTTTTTTACTTTTAGTCTGCAACAAGTTGATCTATCATTTGGATTTGCCAAGTGACAGAACAAATTATATTAAATCCAGGCCTTCCAGCAACAGGCAAGAAAAAGCCAACTTAGGGTATCTTTACAGTTTACAGATGCTACATTGTTCCCAAAATTAAATGGGAGAACATATCCTGGCATCGCATTAAGTTGTCATGCGTGTTCCAAGACACTCTCCCTAAAATATGCATTCAACTCCTCATAAAATCTCGTCCCTTTAATTTTCCAGATGAGTGAAAAGCAGGTTTAGCCAGAAACCTGAAATTTTCATTTTGAGCCAGACTACATCATAGAAATCCAGCTCAAATAAACTATAATGTTGCTAATTTTGTAGGCATTACTGAAATTGATTTTATTATGTCTGCTGTTTTTATACAAGTAGCACTGATCTCTGATTGTATACTATGCTAAGTCTTTAATGAGTGGGATTTTTCCCTTACTAAAAAAAACCACTTGTAAAACATATATAAATTAGCAAAAACTAGGACTAAAGCCAGCCTAGTACTCTAATATCATAATGCTGTACAAAAACAGATCTCACTGAAAGCAGCAGAAGCTTTCTCTCTATATATGCTAAATTTGGCTTCAGAGACTCTACATTTCAAAAGTTAACATTTCATAAATATTCAAGGAAAAAAAATTAACAAATACTTACAGGCAGTAGACAAACACGCAACAACTGTATATCATTGGCAGTTCATCCAACAGCTGTAAAAAGCAAAGACATCAAAACATGAAAGCTACTTTTAACTCACAAGCTTGTCTAAGTTAATTAAGGAAAGGGTAAGTCTTAATAAACAGGAGTTTTTAAGTCATTTGGATATCCATCTTCTTGACTGTACTCTAACACGTAGCACTGTCAAATCCTGTTCAGCTACCAAAGCTGCTGCATTAAAAGCTTATAACTCTGAATCTTTTGAATATTACTCTTCATAAACACCCACACCTTCAAAGACTCTTGACATTTTTGCTGCTCACACCTCTTAAAATATTTGTAAGAATTAGTTCTGTAAAGCCAGGCTGAAGAAGACCATCCCATCTGTGGCCTTACAGTCAGTAGCACCTTCTTACTTGACAGAGAACTTGAAATGTTGTATTTTTCCATGGCATAAAATACAATTTTAGTCTATTAGGATGGGCAATATGCTTGCATGTTTACTTCCTAATTTTAGAAATTTCTTACGTTGTTTTAATTTAGGGACAGGGTTTTTTGTTTGTTTGATGTGGGGATTTTGTGGGCTGTTTTGTTGGGTCTTTCCACAGAAATTATGGGGCCATATAATGTTTTATTATCTTAAATAATTTTTATACCTTGGGAGAAGACTGGTGTGTTACAGCTAAAACAGTTATTTCTCCAGGAACTTGCCACCTTAAAGAACTGAATTAAAATGGTAATCACAAAAGAGTTGATTTCTTAATAGCAGGTAAACTCAAAATTGCCATTTATCATTAGAAGGAAAAATAATTATAGCATCATTTTCTTGTAAAATTTCTCATCAAAGAATCTTCGTGAATTTCTGCTTATAAATATACAGTTAAACTTATTTCTTCTTAAGAAAGACTGAAAATCATAGAAATGAAAAAGGATACAAATGGATCAAATGAAGATCCACAGCCTCTGATTTCTAATATGTTAAGCAAACATTAATAGTTAGGGCTTTTAGACTTTTAGAGCTTGACTTCTAAGAAATACAAGAACTAGATGCAAAAAACATTTTGACCTTTTCCCATCATCACTCAGAGTTCTTGATGGCTGTGCCTGTAAATAAATTGCTTTTCTACCACTGCTACAGGGTACTTAAAAAGCTCATAACAATGTTATTCTGAACAACAAGACTTGTTAAGAGTAGTAAGCAGCTTCCCAAACTCTTTTATAAAGCCAGCCTGATTCTGCATGGTTTGAGATAATTTTCTAACTGCACAGTCAAAAACTTCATTTTAGCTTTGAAATTTCCTATCATGGAAAAAAAAAAAAAAAAAGTGGATCTAATTCTTTACGGAAGGAGAGAGATGTATTATCCTGAATGTGAAGTATCAGTTGCTGTGATTTTGGTTATATAAACCTCAGGAGCTGTTTCACAAGAGTGCTAAACAGCTCTGCTGCTCAGCTGCCACTGATAGGGCAGATGTTGTTTCTTCCCACACACCCACTGCTTCTCTCCACTGGGGAGATCAGACTGGTCTGACTTACAGGGAGCCAGGTCCAGGTGCTGAGCCAGCACACAACCCACCTTGCAGAGCAAGGTTTAAATCCCAGGACCTGTGCATTACACGGTCAGGGACCACAACAGCAGCACCAAGACAGTATCAGCAAAAACATTGGTAGCAGTTGAAGCAAGCAGGCACCTTGCCATCACAGTAGTTTATCTTTGCTGTGATGCCTTAGAGGGGACAAAATAGAAGCAATAGCTGAATTCAGCTTTATAGTAATATATTTTACAAATTTGCTCTTCCAAGTCTGATAGGAATTAGCTATAGGATTAATTCATGAGGCTGTTAAAGAGTGTGAGTCATTTAACACCTCATTAAAGAAGAAGGTTGGGGAAGAACAAGAAATACAATACAGGAAAATCTTTCAAATTTGGACAGGTGCTTACACTCAAGTTCATATGCTGGCAGCATCTCAGGGACATTACAGTAGCAACAAAGAGCCTCTCAAAAGATCCTAACTAGAATTTGCATGCAGAAGACAATGACTTCTGTATCCAAAGGAATTAATGTTTCTTGGAGTACTGTAAAAGGCATGCCTGGACAATGAAGAACTATGGAAAGAAGGGAACTCGGGTAACTGATTTCACTGGCTAAATAAGCATTTTGTGCATTCCTCGAGAATCCAATCAAGCCAATTCCCATAAAAATAACAGGAAAGGGGAGAACAACTCAGAAGTATTCTAAACAACTGCTTTCAATAACAGAAGTGTTCACATTTTTTTAATCAAGCAAATTGAATCGATCACTTAACAGTATTAAGACTTCAAAACAAATGTAAAAAAGTCTCCTTGAATAGCTATGCTGATTTTTAACCATAACAAGAGATAAAGTAAATGAGGAAAGTTTATTTACTGGTTGAGCTGTTTCCTCCATGGTGATCAGTAAGCAAACAATCAGAATAATTATGGACCGCTTGTGGATTTCACTTGGCTGCCAAAATAAATGTACTTTCTCTGCCTCACACGAAGCCTTTTACATCCTTGACAAGATGATGCAACACATTCCTGCTTCCTTCTCATCTTCTTCTGCCCCACTTTATTTACCACAGTTCATAGGCCTCGTAGTTGTTCTGATGCAACTTCAGAACTACTGGGCAAGTAGCAGCAAAGTGACTTGCATTAAAATAAAGCCTCTATACACACACACAAAACCTCCAACAACAACTGAAGAAATGACCCAAACCAAAACCAAAAAATACCAAAAAAAACCCCACATGAAACAAAACAAACAAAAATCCACAATCTCTCCCTTCATAAAAGGGGATCACTTTAATGATCATGATTTCAGGGTGCCATTTCTCACCTCTGCAACAGTGAGAAAGAGGATATGAAATACTGGCCATGATAGGAACAAGCAGCTGAGGGAAGTAATATGAAAGAGGTGGAAATTCAAGGCAGTTTCACCACCAAATACAGGAAAATGGCACCCTAATTTGGGAGAGAGTGGTGAAAGGTTCTACAAACCACCTTTTTTTCATGCCAAAAAAAGCACCAAATATTCTTGCTTGGTGACAACAGTATGCTCTGTGGAAGCTGACAGACTCCACCACATGCCAGAGATACAAACCAGAGCATTATGGAGGCAAACATCAAACAATCAGCAATATGTGGGTCCCACTGTGATAGGCAGAAATGCAGGAATCTATTCAGCTGCCACAGCATAGTTGCCTAATGCCACCTGAGATGCTCTGTCACTCCCAATACACCTATCCAAGACTGGCAGATGTGAAAGGAGTCTAAGAAACCTGCACCTCTGTGGGATGGAAGCTGGAGGCCTGAGAGAACACTCACAGGGTCTAATATAACACTAAACATCTCTGTTTAGACAAATGAATCTTTTTTGTGCAAAGATTGCCAGTGGAGTCTAGAGAATGATTCAGCCCAGCCAACTGCCTCTCTCCACTCCACTGATTAAACTGTATTTCCATTGACTGTGGTGGGAACACAGACTTCCAGCACAGACTTTTAAATGTAGGTTTCCTAATCTTGAACAACATCCCACTTCATCCTGACTTTAATTCAAAGATGCATTTCCTTATTCTTTGCAGACCTAAAAGAGGACAACATGACAAGACTTCCTGTGTCCTTTTAGAAAACAGGAAATACCAGGACAATCCCTATGTCCTGTGATTTGTTACAGAATGCTGTCTACTTGAAAACAGAGAGAAAATGACTCAATTACCACTACTGAGAAGATACTGATTTCAGAATTAATGTTACAGGTACATCTAGATAAACAGAAACATAAAGATGAGAAAAGTTACAATAAATAGTAATAACTCCGGTTTATACTGCTTGTTATCATGCCAAAGCTGTGAGATTTTTAAAATAACATCTTGTGTAAAAACATAACATGATTTCCTAAAGGATAAAGTGTCTTCTAGCACCATAAGCAACTGATGATAGCTCTTATTTTAGATACAAGTATATATTTCTGTATATAATCAGTGGAAAATACCTACTGAAACAAGACCTGCATTACTGCCTTGCTGAGAGCAGGAGTCATGTACAACGATACTCATTTTATACAAGTCTCATCTAGCCAAGAAATGGCAAAATGACTGTAACAGCAAGATACATACAGAAAATTATTCACAGGTACTTATCAGTACTCACCTGCATTTCATACTTCAGGGTCATGTGGAAGCACCAAGATCCCAATCCCACAGCTGAAAACAAATCAAAACTGTCATCAGCATAATGATATCTATGTAAAATTTTCAGGTACATTAACTTAGATGTATGAAATGCATGCTTAAAGTGAGAAAGAAATTAGAACATCAGCATTCTACTGCAGGGACAAACCCCCATTTTTCCACAGCCTTCTACTCTATAGTCACCAATGAAATCCCTGAATTTATGGGGCTTTGGGTGTGAGTTTCCTCTTTAACTCCTCTCAGTACTGTGTCCTATGAATTGGGCATAATCTCAAAGAGGAGAGGAGCAGAGGGAACTCAGAATAAATGGTGTATTATATATCAATGTATCTTTTTCCTTTCCTTTTTTTTAATTTTAAGTGAATAAAGATTTCTCTGTTCCAACCCTTCTATAAGTCAACGCATCATTCAGTAACTAGTACTCCTGAAAGCCTCTCAATATTTCTGCTTACTCTCCAGTTTTAAAACATGTATTTTACCAAAAGCTTTTTGTTGTCTCCATAAAACATGGCACTAATAACACCAGTATCTGGGGTTTGACACCCATAGGGGCTGTTCATTAAAGATGATTCTTGGGGCTCCCTTCCAACTCAAGATGATTCTGTGATTCAAAAGCAGAAGTTAACTGCTACTAGAACTCAGAACTAGAAATTCAACATAAACAAACCAACTCCACATAGGATGGATTTGTTTTGTGAAATGAGATCACCATTTCTGGGTCTTCTCTATAGAAAGATGAGCTTCTAAGAAATTATTTCTATTAATTTGAAATATTTTCTTTACATATTTCGAATTTACTTCAGAAATTACTTTGTGAGACATATGCTTTGGCTATACAGTTTTTTCGGTCAGGCATGAATAATGCTTCTTGGAAGTCAGATTTCTCTGTTTAGAGCAAAGCTGGTACAGTATTTAATGCATCATTCATTACTTTGAAATACTATCAGTAAAACACTCACATCAAGCACTAGCTCAGTTTTACACTGCAAAAACAAGTACAGTAATGTGATGTCTTCCTTCAAGGAATTATGTTTTACTCCAGACAGTAGTTTCAGAGAAAGCCAAGTAATCTGCACTCAAGCCTTGATCATGAGTAGTGATGCCATATTTTGTGGCTAGAGTATCACCTTGTCTACACACACCAGTCAAGTTTCACTGATGCATAAACAAGAATTCTATCTCTGTGCATTCTGTAAAGGAGTGCCAAGACAGTCAAGAGACATGTCTGGAGATGCTTCCTTAGATGTTATTAACCAGAACTGTGATTATTACACTTACTCAAGGAAATTATATACCTAAGCATGTAGCTTTACTGAAATACAAAACTGTAATACAGCAATATTTCAAAATGTATTACCTAACACTTCAATGTCATTATTTCTCTGGGAAAATTAAGCAGAGTTCCTATCAGAAAATAAACAACCACATGCACTTCTGTAAACTTTGATTACATTAGTTTGCTTCTGAAAAATCTTTCCAAACAGCAAGCTACAATTTCTTTCACCTTCATTAAGATTCTAATGAGAAATTCTCATAGCCATTTTTCTATGTATACAGAATATATGACAATAACTGTTCATTCTGGAGGAAAAAACCCATTAAGATAATCATTAAAATAGTGCCATCCATTATCCTGACTGTCACAGAATACAAACTCTTACAATCTGTAACAAATGTTATTTTCAATATGGGCAAAATCATTGCATAAGAAATTTTAAGCAGATTTTAAATTAACAAAATATGTAGTTGGGGTTTTCTTGTTTGTTTTTGTTAATGTTGTTTGGGTTAATAAATCTCAACTATCAGCAACTGAGCTTCTTTCCTTCCTTCTGCATAGTAAGAAGCAATTATTTCTAGACTAATTCTTGTTCAGTCTTTGAAAAAAATCTAGAATGCTGCAGATATTAGTATTTCAAGTCATTAATCCCATGACTATAGTTAATTTCTACAGTTAAAATTGATAGAACCCCTCTTTCTTCTGTGCAATAATCACACCTGGAGTTTCTCTGATTATGAAATTTTACTATGCATTGTAGAACAATGTTTTATTTATAGTATCTATGTAAAATAGGTATCTGGAATAAGAGAAGCTTACAGGGAGAGATATTATGGTTCCAGGCTTGAGATAGTTTTAAGAAATATTTACTTCACAAAAACCATCTGCAATGAGACATTCTGCAAGGTTTGTACTTTTCAAAATATGAGTGATCAATATCACTGCAATGACACAAGTTTTCAAGAGAAGCAACTCTCCCATACAGCTACTGACACACTGAACAATAAATTTGCTTCTTACCTTGTAAGCAAGTTTTATATTTTAGGTCTTTCCTTTTGCAAAGGAGCTCAACTGACTAAAAGCTGCATATTGGTTCGGAAGCTTTAACACCATCTGAAGCAGTAAGTACCATTTCCTCTCTAACTACTGTAACTCACTTTTCATAAATACTATAAATCACTCGGCATTTTTACATCAGTGAACCTCCCAAGTTACGTGGGATGTAAATAAATTATGTCCTAAGCACAGAATACACATTAAATCATAATATTATGAGATCAAAATGGCACTTCAGAAAATTAGAAATGCAAAGTCAGGGCTGTTGCTCTATGTAGAATAACAGGGTCTTTTTTTGTCCTGCAGCAAATACCTTGTGTGGTTACTGCCAATGGATAAAATAGTGGTGTTACAATAATGTAAATACAATGCATCTACAAACTTTACTTCATACATGTACTGTGAAAAAGCTTATGGGCAATACCTATAGCTAGAAATAATTGAATATTATACAACAGATCCAGCTCTAGATATGAACCCATAAACCTCCAAGATTTGAATTCTAGAGGGATTCTTTCAATAGTTTTAGGAAGCTTCATATAATCAATGATAATTTAGTTTGATGTAACTATTCCCATCAGCACTCAAAATTCTTGTTATGAGCCTAAATTCTTTACAGAAAAAGCAGTTTATTAGGATTTCACAGAAATGGTAACTATACAGGCACTGTATGAAAATATTCTGAAGAAAGGATGCTCCAGATACAAACACCATTATTTAGGTATCTACACATGAACTAGGTGTCAAAGCTTCCACTAAGAGAATGCCATTATTAAGAGTAATGCATCTGGCCAAACAGGTATTTTAGAAAGATTCAAATTATTCTCCTGGCTTTACTGACTGCACTGGCAGACAGAACCCTCTGCACAGGTAGACACATACGTTTAGGCATTTAAATTTGGAGCTGAATTCCATTTTATTTTTTTACCATGCTAGAACTGAATTAAAGATAACCAACACATTGCATCATTAAAAGTCAAAGAATGAAACAAGATTAAAAAGAAGAATTAAATTAACTAGTTTTAATGGATTATTTTGTGTTGCAATTGTTTCCCTCCGCAGCCTAAGAGACGGGAGAGACACTGGTTACTCCAGAGGTACAGCTCTGCAATTAACCTCCACCCTTGCTGGTACTATTCCCATCCATTGTGGTACAAGTGTCTGCACCAGTGAGTCACTGGAACAGTCTGTGGTATGAAACTGGCCTGCTCCAATGAACACTTTCCCCAGGCAGCCTCCAGGCACAGCCCAGCAGCCGCAGAGCCCGGGGCCGGCGCTCAGCAGGGAATCTCTATGCGGTCACCTTGTTTTGGAGCTAAGAGGAACAGGCACGGGCTGTTCCACCCTGCTTGGCTTTGGCACTCGGGAATGTTCCCAACCACAGCTGATTTACCAACACTGACACAGGCCTGGGAGCTTTTCTACAGGTGTTAGGTAAGAGGAAGGGAATTAACTCTGAAGAGGTTCTAACAACTGTTTTCACAGACACAAGAGTTTCACTGGAAATTAGATTTAGTAAGTTGCTAAGGAGTTCCTATGGCTATGTCTAATATAGAAAAGGTTTTACACCTTTTTTCTTTCCTTCACTTTGGCACTGCTTGAATGACTGAGCCCTTATTAAACAGGCTAAAGAAATACATATCAGAACAATCCTTCCAAATTTCAAGTGAAATATCTAACAAACATTACTTCATTGAATGTTTTCTTATTTCCTCAGGTCCAGAAGTTACACTTACACATATATATATATATACACACACAATCTTTTAAAAATCAAGACCCTTCCAGAATATGAACCACTTCAGAATCACAGTTCCCCAGGATGTATGAGGAACTGGCATGTGTAGAACCTGATACAACACTCCAGAATCATAAGGAGCTATTCAAAACCAACTGCTTATTCCTTGAGGTAGTAATAGTCTGATGATTTGTTCCACCTACTTCAGGTGATGCAACATAAAATAAAGATTGGCTTAAAATTATTCTTTATAATTTCTATATTTGTTACATGGTTCTCTATAGCTTAAAAATCATATCCAGTTCCTACTGAGTTAATTGAGAACATGCACTTTTTCCTGAAAGGCAGTAGAAAAAAGGACTGAGAACGGTGTGCTGTATCTCAAAGGCCTTGTTGAAAAGTGTAACTCAGTATTGGCACCAATATGAAGAAGAAATTTATTTGAACAATTATTTAGCAATACCCCTTGTTGTGCTGCCAAGATCTTACCATGTATGTGAAACAAACAGAACTTCCATAATGCAAAATGTATTTACTTCAAAAAGGAAATAAATGTCAACAAAGAGATTGTGGGTATAAAAGGCAAGCACTGAACACAGTGTGGTAAAACACAAAGAAACTGATCATCAGCTAAATGTCTGGAAGCATGCAAAAGAAGCAGCTGATTTGGATCAAAATAATGTCTAGAAACGACACCTCATGTTCTTAAATGCTAACAGATTTAATTTTAACATTGGCTTTGACAGCTGTCATTTAGTATCTTGTAAAATCTCAGTAACTATTCAAAATTGTTAAAATCAAAGTACCCTCCCTTCCACCCCCATCTTCAGAGCAGAACATAAAGAAATTCTACTTTGACAAAACAACCCTCACTTAGAAGCTCTGCTGCATGGTCTTTAATGAAGCATGCTGCCTCAAGTGAAATCACAAGTTTGTGTTAAATTCACTATCTTTTCACAGATTAAGTCAACATTTGTTTGTTACAAATTAAACAAATAGAGTGAAACCTATTAATAAACAAAATTCATATGATGGCAAGAATTCTGTCTGATACTTCTTACAAAAAGAATTTTCTGTACACTTATTCTATCTTCACTTCAGTATGCCTCTTGTTCAGTCACATGCACAGAGAGAACAGCAATGTTCCTGACATATTTCAACCATATTTAAGATTATTTTTATGTTCTCATTCACTGCTTTTATTCTGTAGTAGAGCAAATGTTAAGTGGTTTGTGATTACAAATTCCAAATCTTATTCCTGTTTTTCACTACAAACTATAAAGTCTTCTACATTTCTTTACATCTTTCAACTGCTGTAAAACAGGGCTACAAATATTGAAGCAGACACAAAGCAGATGGGAAACACTTTTGGGAGAGATCTGTAATGTTAGATTCCAACATATGAGATAAAAATCAAACCATCTATCACTTGAGACAGGAATCAAAGTCAACTCAGTCACAGATGAGCCTAGATGGAACTCAGGACTGCCTTCCAGCACTGCTGTCTAAATATAGGCTGGGCTCCCCTTCAGCACACCAGAGAGGAAAAATTGAAATTCAAGGAATTTACAGTGGGTTTCTTTTGTCTTGGTTTTTTATTTGGGTTTTTTTTTTCTTTTTGGGTGTTTGTTTGGTTTTTTAATATTTTAAACATTAAATGGGATATGAGAAATGCCCATATGGTATGACAGCCTGACATTCTGGTTGGATAGTGACTGCACATTCTATCCATCATAAACTGTCACTGACAGAGGTAGCCACAAATCATGGTGAAGACAGTTTCAAACTGATTTTTAATTTAAGGGGGTCCTTTTCATAGTTTAAAAATAATGGCAGTATGGGACACTGACTTAAGAACACCCCAAGTCAACTTCAACAAACATTTACACATCATTTCTTACCATGTCTTTTTAAAAGTAAACCCTGACCTTTAACACTTCTCTGTTTCATACTGAGACAAAACTTACTAATTACCTGAAATCATAGAAAGCCTACAAATGGCTTATTAGAAAGTGCTCAGACAATATGCAAAGCCATGCATTGTTGCTGCCTTTCACATAGATCAGCAAAGCAAATATAACTGAAAACTTGTCCATTTGCCCCTTGTGTATGTTACAGTTTAATTGATATCAAGGATACATTGAGAATGTGGATATGTATTTTTCAACTATGTCCGCCTAAATACATAACATGACAATCTTAAAAGTCACATTTATCAATCCCTTACCACTCCAAAAACTGGGAAAAATCTCCATAAAGACAGCAGTTATAGCAAATACAGAAATCCTGTGAAACACAGAAATTCTATGAAATCTAGTTTTGAGACCAAACTGCCACATCTGAACCATCTTCAAACATCTTTTCTCATAAAGAACAAGACTTCTAGTCATACAATTAACATTTAAAAGGAAGTTGGTTCTTTTCTGAATTATGTTTAGAATGGACAGACTTCCCTTGAGTTGCCTCTTGAAACATGAATATCATGTTGTTCTTCCATTCTTGCAAAACTTCCCAGACATGATGGCTGGGTGATATATGCCAAAGAGGAACTGGAAACAAAATTTGAAGTCATGCAAGAATGCCTTCCCAGTTCCCTCTACATCTTGGCCACTTCTTATATTATTCTCCCATACAAATGTCATAAAAATATTAATACAGTGTGAAACTGTTTACAAGCAGAATACACACGATGCCTTCTGTAATCATCAGAAAAGTACAGAGCAAGCTAAGATGCACTGAGCAAGACCCAAAGCCAGAAAAGGATCACTTTAAAATCTGATCAAATTATTTAGCGAATTCTAATTTCATGTTCCTCCAACAGATAAAAATTTTCTGTAAACACTGACAAGTGTAGCAAATGGAGTGTTGCAATGGAGGTCTACTTTTCACACACATAGTATTTGGATTTAACTACTGGATTTATTAACATCTACACATATTTTCCATTGTAAGCTGAGCTCTCTTTATAATGAAAGAGCAAATTAAGTTTTACACATACCTGTAAGACACAAATATGCAGCTAAATACCGTTTTTCAAGGCCATCTTTATAGGTCTGAATCGCACCATAGATTGGAGGTAGAATGAAAATCAGGTTACTCACTGTGTTCCCTGTAGGACAGAAACACAAAGCAGAGATTTAGAATGAGGTACTATGCACTTTAACTAAATCTAACAAAATTATATTCACTCATTAGAGACAGATTCAACCGTTTTCATCCAGAAAGTGACCCAGCAAGACACTACTGCTCTCCATCCCTGGTCTAGCAGAAGGTGTCCCTGCCCCCAGCAAGGGGCTTGGAATAGATGGTCTTGAAGGTCCCTTCCAACCCAAACTTTGCTAGGACTCTACATCCTACATTCTACCCAATGCACAGAAATGACAATGTGCTGTAGAGAGACCAGAGAAAGCAGTAAAAGCCAAGAGTCCAGCTCTTGTACGCTGATTAAGATTTGGCATGCTTTTCTTCTCCCAACTGTGCTGACTCCTAAGCAAAAGTGCAATGAAATCCTGCAAAGTTTAAATGAAACAAAAGGAAATAGTCCATCTCTCAACAGAAGGGATGCAGATTCAGCTTTTTCACTTAACCACAAATCATAATTTTTAGAATAGAGGTTATGTTAGGGGAATTAAATGCTATACAATTTGGGGAAATGAGCAATTCTGTTAAAAAAAAGGCTTATGCAAAATAAACTGCACATTTTCACACACCATCAGTTAAATATATATAAAAGTGAAATCTAATTTGCAAATATCCCAATGAAGTATACCAATTATGAGGCTATGAAGACACCAAAACCCCCTTTTTCTGGATTTTTTATTCAGCAGAAAATCCCAAAAGTATTTCACATTCTAGAACAAAGCACAAGAGTGAGCAGGTCCTTTCTGAATCACACCCCTAATTCAAGCAGCTATTTTTAGGAGTCCTACTTGCCAAGATCCGTTCAAAAGAAAAGCAAAACATACCAAAATATGTTCATATAACCCTAAAGTATTGCAGCACCTCTAAAAACAAAAATCCATACTTCAAAGTTTTAAAGAAAAATGATACTCAAATGAGAAAAAGGTTATTTCAGAACACATGTAGCAGAAGTGTACCTGGTTCCTTTGAACAAGATAGCTCTTCTATATTCTCACAAAGTACATACAAATCTCACTTTGAGACAGGCTTCTCAACCAGTTAAAAATCTCATCTGATTTTTATCAGAACTTCTTTAAATTACTTCCTTACTGATTTAACATCATATCCTGCCCAACCATGAATTTCACCAAGTTATAACAAGTCAAATCAAATGTGCCAGAGATCTCATTCTTCTAGTCAGCTCTGAAGTAAGCTCCTCCATGTAAAAGAAGCCCAGCTGAAAACAAAAAACCTTCTGTAAGGATGTACAAGCTTATACCAATATAAAAGGCCTTTTTTGTGTTTAAATTCTTAGTGGGATCATTACTCTTTTACCACATTCCCACAGTGTTGCAATGGGTAGTGATTCACTTTCAACAGAGACCACGTTTGGAAGAAATTCACTCAAAAATGCTGTTGTGTGACACACTGACCATTGCCACGTCCTCCTATAAATCATGCAAACATGCCATTGAGCCTTGAAAAGTAGGATAAAGGTTACACAAGTCTGGATAGTTAAACTTCTGCTTTCTAAAGCAGTGCTCAACCATGCCCATTTTTAAGAGAAGTCAGTAGACATTAAATAAATGTCACTGTTCAAGGTCACTTGGTTATGAAACTGTCAAAAGCCTGGCAAAAATTCAAATATGAAAATGCCAAACAAAAGAAATACCATGATGTTTATCCACAACTGGGAAGGCACATGACTGTGGAAGAGAGTTGCAGTAGGATAACAAACTTCAGATGGGTGTAAGAATGCAGAAAACAGATTCTTCTATAGGAAAGGGAAGGGAAGGTTTGAACACTTCCTGTAAAGCTATAATTACATTAGATTATTGAAAATTTATGAGCATTTAATCTGGGAACATCTTGCTGAGAGAGGAAATACCATAGACCTAATCTAGCTGTACATTCCTGCCACTCCTTCTCTGCACTTTTTGGCCCATATTATTCAGAACATTTGCAGCATGGATTAGGCAAGTCTATCTGCAAACACACTTATTGAAAGTAGTGTACATTTTTTTTAGAAGGGGAAATGGGGGCAGGGGAACAATAAAGTCCTAAAGCTAGCAGCTGGCATGCTGCTAGCAAAATTACTTTTTTTAAGAACAAAATTCCAAGGCCTCTTGCAAACCCAAGGTCCCCAAGAATGCATACTTCATAAAAGTCTAGTCTTTATAGGATTATCCCCACACAGAATAGCTTATAAATTCATTAAAAGGGATTTTTATTAATTCCATTAAAAATGGCAGTGGGATATGCACAGAGATTAGCAAAGAATACCAAGAAAGAAGCAAACTGTGACAAACTGCAGATCCACAACTCTAAAGTTATTTAACAAACAAGAAAGTGAAACAAGCTTTGAAGGGAATAAATATGGAAGCTGAAAATAGGAAAACAGTTCAAACAGTTAAAAAAAAATTAATCTTTTTTCACTGAATTTCCTTTTTTTAAAATGTGGGAAACACAATGCAGCAGAATTCCTATTTTTCTATGGGAAAACTAATGAATAGAGAAATTGCAACTAAGGCATGAGGCAAAAGATACGAAAAATAATTAAAGAAGAAATTATTGGTTATGCCTGTAAGAAATAGGGTACATCAGAAATTTGACGAATGCACATGGATAGACCTGGGCTTAACTCTGTACAGCATTCTTAATATTTCACTACTGGATTCCCTGAATACTGGTCCAGGGAGTGACCTAACTTTTCTGTAGTGACCAAAGACTGCTTCTCAACATTTCATCTTCAATATGTCCATCAAAAGAAAGGCAAACCACATTACCTGAGGGGGAAATGAATGAATTTGCAGACTGAAATGACAAGAACAGGATTAAATATGACAGCCACAAACACACCTTTCAATGTGAATATGAATTCTTACTCCATATGTAGAAATAATCTGTTTGAAGAGGCAGAAAAGTGAATTTAGACTGCATGGTAATTGACCATAAACCATCACTATACGCACTAAACCCCAAAAATTTATTTCCAATAGAAGCAGTGAAAATAGTTATGGTTTCATGCAACTCAACAGTGGAATACACCGTTCTCTAGTTATTGATAAAAGAAAAAACAAAGCTCATCAAGTGCAGAGAAGCTCCCCTCAGATGGGAGTGATGAATAGGAGCCTATAATTTCAGAAGGGACAAAAATTGCTCAGCTCACTGAACAAAACAACGGCTGGATGGAACAAGACTGTGCTCTGTAAAGACATCGTGTGTCAATGCCAATGACAAAAGGGAGCTGTTTGAACTGAAGGATAATACTGACAATGACTAAATAGATATAGACTAACCCTAAATAAATGCAGGCTAGAAAAAAGAGGAAAGCTTCCTATTAGAGAGGAAATATTTACAAGTGCTTCCCAACAGAAATGAGAAGCGCAATGAACCTGCTTTCAGAGTGGAGCTCAGGAAGCTCCACAATCAGATTACATCATGCAGTAGCCTACTAGAGTACTAAACCAGAGCACATCCACAAAGACTGCACATGGCACTTGGTACAGGGCTAAATTAAGGTCTAATCGTCATAATGTGACTGACTGCACAAATTTCCATAGAAGTCCTTCAAGACTGTTTCAATGCAAATCATTGTTTCAAAGTAATGTTTTCTTCATTGAGAGAATGCTATAAGGTACCAGAACAAAATCAATTTATGCAAAACATCTTTTCAACAAGCTTCTGTAGGAAGAAGAACAGTATGAGTGTTAAACCACATCTGCTTCCCGTTCTACACGTACAGCAGCAAAACCTGAAAAGTCTTTTTCTAAAGCATGTACATTCATAGTCATCTTCAAGCCCTAAAAAATATGTGTACTATCATTAACACACAAAGATCCGTAAAAGACTGACCACAAATACAAACAAAAATAACTCAAAAGGGAAAACAGTTTCTACAGGCAGACACAGATACAATATACAGCTTACTGTTGCACAGACATTGCAAACAGGTGGGAAGGAGATGAATTTGAAATGC